ATTTAAGTGATAGATCCCAGAAACAATGGCTCTTGATTGTCTGTAATACGAGTCAATTCCCTAACTGCGTTGGTGAGGCAAACAGCTGCAAAATATCCATATTTCATGCATTTATTATACTCTGTGCTCTGGCTGGACATGCATCATTTCTTGGAATATGACTTTTTTTCCACACCTTGTGTATGTAGGGAAGTTCTCTCTCCTTGCCTCAGGGGTTTTATGATGATGACTTTTAACGCATAAATGTCTTTTTACAATTTCTAAGCTAGTTTTAGGTTTTATTAAGTTTGTCAGATTTCTCTAGGTTTTGCTGTTTCACCAGTTCAGAGTGTTTTGCTATTTGAATAGCTGTGACTAGGGTTAAATCTGTCTTCAATTGTAGCTTCTGGGAAGGGTTTTCATCTGCTAATCCAATAGCCAGCCTGTCTTTGATATTTTTATGTTTTGCATTCTGAAAATAAGAGTTTTCAGCCAATGTGTGCAGCGCTCTTATAAAACATTCAACATTTCCCTCTCGTTCTTCAATTCTCTGGTGAAAACATGCTCTTTCATAAACCACATTTCTCTGGGGTATAAAGTATGTATCAACATAGCCTGAACCCTTTAGCATAGACACCTTTGTGACTGTCTTCAGTAAAATCTAAGGATTTAAAGAGATGCTCTGCTTGCATCCCCATAGCATAAATTAAAGAAGCTGAAGTTCTCTGTGGCATTGAAGAGTGGCATGTTGATGAGATCCTGCAACCTTCATTGCCATAGGTGCCGACTCCATGGGTGCTCCGGGGCTGGAACACCCACAGGGAAAAAAAGTGGGTGCTCAGCACCCACTAGCCCTCTGTCAATCAACTGTTTGTTTGGTGGCCCCCTGCTAATCAGCTGTTTGGTGCCCACTCTTCCCCACCAATCAGCTATTTGGCGGCAGGCAGGAAGTGGCAGGAAGAGGTGTAGTGAGGCCAGGGCACTGGAAGAGGGGGCGGAGCAGGGGCAGGAAGAGGCGGGGCGAGGGTGGGGCTTTGGGGAAAGGGGCAGAGTGAGTGCGGGGCTTTGGGGCAGAGTGGGCATGGAGCACCCACCCAGAAAAATGAAAGTCAGCACCTGTGTTTATTGCTGTTTTCCTTCTTTCTGAAACCAGTGTTGCTTTGTTCCTTCTGTTTCTGTTCTTAATTTACTCCTGACACCATGTCATGTACTTCTGTACCAGATGTGAACTGGCTACAGAGCTTGCTTATATACACCAAATGTGTTCATCATAAGATCCTTTGATGCTCTGCCAGAGACGAAAGAGGTTCATTTAAATAAAAAGCCACCTAGTGGCTGAACAGTATAATACAGTTTAGCATTTCATTGCAAGTCGCAACGAAACTGCATTTGTTTTGTTATCAAAGGGAGCTTAGGTTGAATTATATGGATGTTTCAAGGGGGCTTGTGCTGGCATTTTTTACAAAATGGAAGGTTCCTCTACCTCCGCATGCATCTGTTTTATGACATACCAATGGCCATATAGTATCTTTATATATACAGTGTTCTCTCTATAAACAACACAGGCAAGCGTAAATGCAACTTTATTTCTTAAAGTCAAGTGAAATAGCCCAGAAGGTTGTAGCCTATGTGAAATCAACAGTAGGTTTCACACAGTATAAATCAAAAGGAGCTTCTCAGTTTCCTTCCTCCTCCCCAGTGGAATCACTAAACTACTGGCTGAAAAGCTGTCCTTTATCATTCTCCTGCAGGTCTGAACTTCACTACACACGCTTCTCCCTCTGGGGAGAGGAAGAGAGACCAAACAACATTGCTTAATGCCCAACTGAAAGATTCTCAGTCATTATGGTGATGAATATATAACAAAATTAATGATGAATTAATAACAAAACGTTATTAATAATGTTATCTTATTTTAGCACCAACCGTGTGTCTAGCACTGTCCATAAAGGCATAAGGACAGACATGCTCCTTGCTCCAAGTAACTTACAGCATTGTAAGAGAATGGGAGAACCAGAGGCTTAAGCATTTTTAACTTTTCTATAGTCTTGTGGGCTCAAGATCAGGCTCAGCTTGTTATTAAAAAAGGAAATTGTCAGGGAGTTAGTACCATGGCTTAGTGGTGTTTGCTATTTGAAATATAACAAGCCAAAAATATTAGTTTAGAAATCTTTCGTGGCTTGTTGGCCTTACTAGACTATGATATGAGAGCCATTTGGATCCATCCGGTATGTAATATGGAATCACATAACATCCTGGTTACTTGGGGTCAGATTCTGGCTAGCCATAATACAGCCATGCTGGGAAATGAAACCTCCCCAGTCCTCTATGGGGCTAGCTTTGGGCTCCTCCCTGCATTTTTGGTTTAATTGGGGGTGGGGAAATGTGCTTCAGAGCAGGTGGGGAGTGAGTGGAGCTGTCGCAACCGTTCCCCTCAATATATCAGCCAAGTTGGGGGAAGGGGAGGAAGTAATCTGCATCCTTTTCAGGCTATAGTTAGTGACTTTCTACTGGAAACAAAATAGAGAGCAAGTGAGGGATTTGTGACTCTTAAGACCTTGCACCGGTTACCTAAATTAAAGGCGGTCACCCTGTAGCTTTTTAACGGGCAATCAGGAAGCTGCCACTGTTTCCCTGGCAGCTCTGCTCAGACACAGTGGGAGAACTGAGCCCACCTTGTACAGTGGTGATAGGTGTTATAAGTCCTTCCCTGGGCTGCTCCTGGGCAACACACCTACATATGGCTCCATATGCAGACGGGTCTCATGCTAGCCCTAAGGTTGCACATGAGGTGATCTATGACTCCTTTTCCTTTCAGATTCTGGATCTGACCTGCTTCTATCCCCCATAGAAAACCCCAGGAAGACATCACTCAGATGCTTTCTCAACAGTACATTGCTGCTGTGCACTTCAGCTCAGTAGCCCCACGTGCTCTCCTCATTGAGATGTTCGCCATGTATTAACCCTGTTCCTCCAGCTCTAGAGCATCCCCCGTTCATTCACTCCTGTAAAAAGACACCCTCTGGGCTGTCCCATCATGGAGACTCATGACTCCTGTTCTTCCACAGATTCTGCTAGTATCTCATCTTGGTTCTTTCTGCTGTACAACTGACTTTGTTCCTTCCATCAAGAAACTAGCTTTGCCTTTGAATTGAATCAGTGCACTAAATTTACTTGGTGTGTCTAATAGAAAAATTCGTTTTTTTTTTGTTTTTTTTTTGGTTTATTTAGGGTGTGAGAATCACATCATTTTTGTAATGGACAGTTTTCTCCCCAAGAAAGTGGAAGAACATCAACCCAAGAAATCATCCTTTGGCTGTACTAGCTCAATAGCTTAGAGCATAGAAAAGACTCAGTTGTGCTTCCTACAGCAGAGCCAGTATTTCCCCAGTTTGTAGCTGTATTTTTCAGTCTGTAGCACGAATGCCTTCTTTAACTGTAGTATCTGGGCAGTAGCAGCTACATAGAACATAGATTTCACAAAAAAAGTGGCTTTCATTGTATGATAGACTTTATCTGCTCCAGGAGCTGCATTCAATGCACAGGGTAAATATGCAATTATTATTATTATTTTCACTCAAATACATTTACCTAACTTTTTAATATGGAAACAAAAATTGAAAAAGCTAATTTTGACACCAGCTGACCATGCAAGGCAAGGTAAAGATGAGGCTTAAATATCATGCCTGTGTCACTGCCTCTTGATCATTACTTGCCCGTGCTGTGCCAAGGTAGTGCAGCACAGGTACTTACGTAATGTAACACCCTGTATTAATCCCAGCTCTATGCAATATTTCAGGGTAGCAGGCGGGGTTGTTACAGGCGGGTTTCAGCATAGGATTTCAGCCTTAAACTTTAATTTCCTGGCTTCTGCTGGTTTGTGTCACAACCTTAATGTTGTTTAAACCTAATTGCATTTGATTCCCATGACTTCAAACAACCAGTCCAGCTCCAGAGCTGAACATTAGGTGTTGAGGCTCTGGGTGAGACTGACAAGAGGGTGCACTACTGTGCATTCTTTTTTCACACTCGTGCATTCCAGTTCAGTGCTGAATACTGACTTGTTCTCTCAGGTGATGTGTCCTTAGGTAACTCAAATGGTGGGGAAAGGGAGAAAATAGCAAAGGGAAAAAAATGTTTGTCATATAGAGAAGGCGATGGAGGTGAATCCTGTTTGATGTTTCGGGCTACATACCTAAACCCAGCGAGCACCCCATTTCATTGATCTGAGAATATGTTCGGTAATACAAAAGGATTCTCAAGAGCTATAATAGTTACAACCGTCCATGTTTCTTAATTTCTCACCAGGAAAATTGCTAACCTTTTAACCCCATCAGTGCTAAAAAATCAGTTGTGTAAAAGGTAGAGTATGCGCACATGGTGTAAACACATTTAGAGGATGAACTCATTCTTCTCTCATCTCTCAGCCATTTGAAAGCTGTTGTGAAACACAGAATTTCTGGCAACCTTGAATGTCCTAGCCAAGGTCAAATGGGCTCTAAATATCTTCTCACGCCCTCCACAATATGAAGCTTGCTTTGATATAAACAGCTCCTGAAAGCGAGAACTGGATCTGAGAACTGTTTCACACTTCAGCCATCTACAAACTCTGCTGTTTCTCACAGTTTCAGATTATTAATGTGAATCCAATCACTGCTCTTTATGGCAATGTATAATTGTACGGCTGATGCCATGCCCAGCAATATATCTCCCCTCCTACCCCCTTCGCTAAATAGGATATTGTTCCAGTTTACCTGTACTTTCTTCTGCTTAATAGAAACAAGGACAGCTTGGTGTTAAATACTGCATGTTCTTTGGATTAGCTTTTCTTTTGTTCAAATAGCACAGTTCTGTAAGGAAAATCTCTACACAGAAAAAACAAAAACAAATTGGCAGCTTGCTGCAAAGATGGAGTCTCTAGGAAAAAATAATAAAAATATACACAGCTGCTTGTGTTAGGGCACTGGGTCACTAATTGAGTGCAAGCTTTAAAAAAAATATGTTGTTTATCCCCCCCACAGGGCATACAAAAGCATTGAAGAGGACGACTTGAAGTTTCCCCTTATATATGGAGAAGGCAAGAAGGTAGGCATGTGAGCTTTCCTTGAACCAAAGGGATAAAGAACTCTGTGCTGTTTACCACTCAGTGTAGCCTGTGGCAGTCCAATGTTTTCCACTCAGTATCTCTTTATTTTATCATTTTGACAGCTTGAAAGAATATTGTGTCTGACATAAATCAGTCTCTGCTGTTTTCAGGGAGGGAAAAGTGCAGTGTATTAAAAGGTAGTTTTATAACAAACTTAGTCATTTGTTGCTCAATTTACTTTTGTTTTCTTACATGCACGCAGCTCGTAAGAGTGTTTTGCATTGTTGCAAATAAGCTAAAATGAGACAATCTTAAATTGCTGTTCATGTGCAGATAGTTCTCATGGCATGGTTGCGAAATGCATTTTTAATGTGGATTGGTTGGGTGAAGAAGACAAAAATCTATCCACTTTGCTGAATAAAACAGCAGTTGTGTGTTTAACCATGATTTACAGTATATTGAGATAAAGGAAGCTGTTGAAATTCTGACATAAGGGGAGGCATAGGTGGGTGTGATCTCAGGGAAAGGTAACACATTTGGAGTGATAAGAACTAATTTTTTTTTAATGATAATTTTATCCAAGTGCCACTGTGTTACCAATTGCATGATTATGAACAGCAAGATTATTCGCTCTAATCCCAACAAGCCTAGCTAGACATAGCAATAGGATGAATATAAGGACAGAGAGGTCTCAGTTTGCTGACATTAGTATGCTCACTGTGTTTCCAAACAGCATTTCCCCACTGTTTGGATTCTTATTTGAATACAGAAATATGCAATCTTCAGATATAATCTAGTTATGAAGGATTCAAACCTGCTGTAGCTTATCTGCAGGTTTGATGGGATTGGTTCTTTTGTTTGCAAAGTGTTTGTGCACCTGTTATTTTTAAATTTATTTTCTCTTTGTTTTGTGGATGTAGTGTTTTAATGTATAATGTTATTTAAAGTAATCTCGGTCACTAGCTGGCATCCATAGCATAAGCTTCCTGGTTCAGAGGTGGCCCCAGATTCCCATCCCCCTGACTGGAGGGTGGTAGGAAGGTTGTTGGGAGAAGATGTTGGGTTCATTGCCCTGTGAGAGTATCTTGCTGGCTGCTCTGTGGCATGGTATTAGTTAAGGAAGACTCAGGAGTTTCTTGGGGGAATGGCTGATGTTTCAGGGGAAAAGTGCTCTAGCAAGTAGGTGAGGTGTCTGAGGTAATTGAAGATCTTGTCTGTACTGGTTCTGCAGTCAGGAGAAGCACTTTGAAAGAGGGTATTGGGGAGTGAGGTGCATCTCTAAAACTATTGCTGTTCCCAGTAATGACCCTGTTCATATTATTGTCACATCAGCGATCTGAGTTTGCCTCATGGTTCTTGTCTTGCCAAAGGAAATATGTGGCAGCACTCCATTATGAAGAGACATCCTGCTGCCTTTGTTATTAAACCCCCAGGGTTGTTGGGTTTTTTTACTTTTTATTAAGGCAAAATTAAAATAAAATGTTAACATACTAAACCATATATTACTTATTCAGGATCAGATTAATATTCAAAGAAACCGGCTAAAGATTTTGGTTTGCTGGTTAAGCAGCCCCCCCTCCTCTGAGTATGCTAAAAAGAGTGCCAAGTGTCTAAATACCGATCTTCTTTTAGGCACTTCTCTTGTGTACATTCTTGGTATGAAAGCTTTTCCATTACAAGAACCGTCCATATTTTATTACACAACAATTGTATAGGAGGAGGGGGTCACATTTTTCCAATAATGTGCAACACAAGGTCTAGCTGCTAACAAAAATGTAATTAATTTGTAGTTCTGCTTAAAAGGCCAAACCTTTACTTGAGCTTTAAGGAAGCAGATCAGGGGATCTCTAGGATGCCAGCATTTTGTCATAAAATGAATCTCTTTAATAATTGCCTCCGCAAACCATCTAAATCCTGGACACATCCAGCCTATGTGCAAGTAAGTTTCCCTTTACCTGCAATCCCTTCAAAAGAGCTCTTCCCTAGTAGCAAAAATATTATGGATCTTAACTGGAGTCTAATGCCATCTATACAGTAATAATTTTTATAAATTATTAATCTTTTGAGCTACACATATTGAAGATGAATATCCCCTTTCCCACAGAGAGACCCACTCACCCGCATCAATTTCTTTGTCCAAATCCTTCTCCCATCTTTTCATCTGGATTGTTTTCTTATCAACATCTTTTTCAATCCAAATTGTATATGTTTTAGAAATTAAACCTTTTGTTTCAGCTTGCTCCTGGCTCAACTTTTCAAATGTGGTTAAAGGTCTAGATAGAGCCACCTCATATCCAGCTTTCACAATAAAATGTTTGACCTATGGGATATTGACAATATGGGATATTTATATCATTTACATTATTACATAGTATAATTTGGTATGATTTCAAATCAGTACCGAGGAACAGCTGTCTGAATTGAATAAGCTCAGCTCTCACCCACAGTGGACAGCCACTTTGATACGTCCTAGGGATAAATTCCTGATTATTAATGAAAGTAGTTGAGGAAGAGGGTCTTGGTGACAGGAATTTAGAAAATTTGTCCAGAGCTGCTAAGGTGGTCTGGATAAATGACCACCTTTTATTTTTGGTGACGTATGTTTCTTTTTAACTCAACAATTACTATGAATAACCATATTTGGGCTATAGTCTGGTTAGAATTTTACCCCATGTTTGGATGGTCTATTGTTAGCCTAGATGACCCCATATTTTAATTGTGATGCATAATAATAATAAACCAAAATAGGGAAAGCTAGTTTTACGGAACTTAGAACTCACCCTTGGCCTTATGTTTCCATATGAATTTTAATAGTGCATCCTGCCATGTTTCTGATGTCATGTCAGGGATACCAACAGAGATGTACTGAAAAAAAATTACTGGGAGGACATTAATCTTTACCAAGGGTACCCTACCTAACCAAGTTATTTCTTATTCATCCATTCTTTCAAGACTTTCATCATTTTATTTCACATTGAAGGATCACTTGCCTTAAAATGATTTTTATGTTTCTCCACAGTATTTATTCTCAACTATTTTAAAGATTCCTTTACCCATTTAAGTTTATGTAGATGTGACAACAGTTTGTTTTGACCCTTTTGGGACTATTAATTCCTAAAATTTCAGATTTATCGTAGTTTATTTTGAAGCCTGATACTTGCCCAAATTCCAAAGCTCTATAATTTTTAATGAGGCTTCTGGCTCTGGCAGATATAACAAGATGTTGTCGGCATGAAAAGCTATTATGTGTTTAATCCAGAAGGCCTTCTGATGCCTTTTACCATAGGACTGTTTCTCTCACTCACTGCAAATGGCTCCATTGCCAAAGCAAAGCATAACAGCCATCCTTGTCTGGTACTTCTAAACAAAATGAAAGGAGGGAGGCACCCTCAATATTTAACTTACCTGCCTTTTTTCAAAAGCTGCCTACAGCTTCTTCCCTCTTCCCAGGTAGTCAGGGGCATGTTGCATATAGGAAATGACAATACTTCAAGAAAGAGCTATCAAAATATTCCACTGACAGAGTGCTCTCATTGACTAACATGCTGAGTGCTTCATACACTTAATATAATTTAGTCCTTCTAGTGCAAGTAGTACTTGAGGTCTCTTTCAGAGAGATTAAGGCTCCATTGTCCTAGACTCTGCACAAACAACTGTCCCAGAGAGCTCACAATCTAGGCTCTAGGCAATGCATAAGTTAGAATAAACAGAAATGGGGAAATAGGGGAGGCGAAGGGAGAACAAGGAAGTGATAGGGAGAGGTGCATTAGGTATTTTTAAATTCCTGAAGACTTAGATTAATGAGAGAGAATTTTTATTCTGGTTGAGATTAAATGTTTTTATTTTACTTACCTTTTTCTCACTTACACACACACACCATTCATTCATTCTCTTTCTCTCTGTGCTATATATAATTTTGAGACAGCAAGTATTTGCAGCATTCCCAAATTTCATAAACCACCTGAGGATGCAGTGGATGTTAAACCCACTCCTGAACTACTCAGGGGAATTTAATTTATGGTCTAGAATGATAGGCAGGTTTTTTCTTGGCCCTGCAGAAAGGGAGAAATTGAAGTCAGAGTGATCCTGGTGGGTAGTCTTTTCACTTTCACAATTTTAGCTGCTTAAAGGTCACTGTCTATGTTAACTCCCCCGTATAGGGGAGGAGACATTGAAAAAGAGAGGTAATTCCTCCAAAAGCCCTAGCAGTTGTGTGGTGGGGTCAGTTTTTAATTCTCTACCACATTAACATTGTGTGTGGAATTGGCTTTGACATTAATGCGTTTCTCTTGTTTCCAGGCTCGTGTCATGGCAACTATTGGAGTAACTAGAGGACTTGGAGACCATGACCTGAAGGTGCATGACTCCAATATCTACATCAAACCTTTTCTGTCCTCATCTCCCGAGGTACGCCCTCCATGTTTTTGTTACATGATTTATGGGAGTGAAGGAAAATTAATTAAACTAAGCGCACTGTGTTCATCCTGAATTACCCTCAACTGTGGACAATGTCCAGAATGTTATTTGATCACTTAAATAAATGTTTAAATGAAGGGTGGAAATAATGACAGGACTGATGCCATTCGCTACATAGTAATGTAGTTTTCATTCCTCTTCCTACTGCCCCAGGAATGTACATATCCCTGTCAGGCCCCTGATGCCTTCCCGCCTTCTAAGTGTCATGGTTAATGTCCTTCTGCCCGAGGGGCACTAGATGTGACTCTGCAGCTGCTTCATGGTCAGCCCAAGGATTCACTATTCAGTGGCACAAGATGCTCTTCCCTCTACATTTCCCTTTCCGTGACTGCGCATGCTACTGACACAGAATTTAAAGCCCATGTCCGCTTCTGAAATAAGAGAATAGAACCTAGATACTGGAGTCTCTGATTTCTTGCATGGCAACATGGAAACCACAGCTTGTACACAGGACAGAACCCCAATGTCTAAGGAGGAAAAATAGCCAGGGCACATCAAAATATGCTGCACACCTGCCCTTGATCCACTTCCCTTGCAGACCCAATGCTTAATCTTTAAGGCCTTCAGTCAGTTGGGACTTAACTTCAGAACATTTTCAGTTCATCACTATCCAATACATGGTAGCTGATGGTATTTGGAGTAAAGCACTTCAGAACAGGATGTAGGGCATTTTCAGTTGGTGGTCCAGGATGTTGCAGTGGCCTAATGGAGGTTCTTAGAATGAGCCTGAGCCTGGCTGTCTTCATCGAAAACTCCTTTTTTGCATAAGCCACCCTGGAATAACAAAATATACAGAATCAATAATGAACATTATGTTTAAAACAGTAAGCAATACAGGTCAAGCCTACAGAGTTGAAGAGTAAAATCCACTGTGAACACACATGAATCTTAATTACCATGGGTCAAATCCTGAGAGTTCTGCACCTCCCACTGGCTTCAGCAAATACTCAACAGTTGCCAACATTTAACCTAGTTGTTGAGACCTACATGCTATGGTGCTGAGTGCCCTAGTAAAGACGACAGAGAGGGAGCAAGCGAGCTTGCACACACTGAAACATAGTGTTGCTGCCAAACTAACAAGTCCTGACTAAAAAGTGCTTGCACTGAGGCTTGAAAAGACAGCTGCAGAGAGATTCTGGTCACTTAAAGAAAAGAAGTCTATTGACAGCACCCGTCATCCTTCCTCACTCTCATTCTGCTCCTTTCCCTGTTTTTTTTCAGTGTATGCCATTTCTTACTTTGGAACCGTCTCTGCTGTCCCAAGCCAGGGAATCAGCATTTCTGCCCTCATGGTTGTAATAGATTTGTTTTGTGCCAGTGTAATGTTGCAATTCTATCTCCTCTTTCTGGCACTCCAAGATCTGGCTCTAGTGTAGTATCTCGGCAGGATTGACCTCGCCAATTGCTGCAGTAACAGGTTTCATTTCCTGGACACTACAATGCTAAGAAGCGATGGTCACATAAACACCACCCTATACCGGAAACCTACTGTCCGCTATACTTACCTACATGCCTCTAGCTTCCATCCAGGACACACCACACGATCCACTGGCTGCAGTAACATTCATTCATGCAATATAAAGATCTTCTAGGCTTCTGCATCTTGTAGGTTTTTCCAATTTGTGTTTGAATTCCAAAACCAACACATACTCTGAGTCTCAGACTCTGCAAGTGCCTGATCAAATGGCAGCAAAAAAGTCCTTGTTTCCATAGTCTTTTGGCAGTTAAGGCTAGCAGAAATGTCGTAGGGGCCAGTAGCAGGAAATGAAGAATATCAGCCCTAACAATCTTGAGATAGAGCCAGCAGAAATCAAATTCTATGAGAAAACAAATACATGTGCCAAAAAAACCCACACACCAAACAATGCTCTTGTCTCAAATATTGTCTATATATTGTCAGGAACCTGCAATACATCTTGCAGACAAAGCTATGTTAAGAAGCAATGCCTTGTGCTGCTATTTGGGGAACTTGCATTTGGAAGTAAATTTAGTAGTAATAATACTTGCAACTTCTATAGCACTTGCTCATCAGTGGACCTCAAATAATTATATAAAGGTGGGGGGAAATAATTTCCATTTTACAGACTGAGAATCTGAGGCATAGAGAAGTTAGTCACACAGTGAGTCAGTGACAGGATAGAACTACATCTTCTGACTTCAGGTCCTGTGCCATAGCCACTGCCCCCTTTCCCAGGCCAGGGGAGAACATGGCAAATTTGTTTCAAATCATAAAACCAAAACTATGATATAAGATTGCAACAGAAACACATCTGAAATCATAATCATATAAATATCTGAAGAAGCAGACTCAGAGTCTAAATCCAGAAGTGTAGGTTTAAGTAACTTTTGGATTAATCAAATTTTATTATAATAGACGTACCAACCCATGAGAGGAGCAGACCAGTATCCAAGTCTGACCATCAGCATTCAGTGATTCAGCTGGTATGAGACAAAATTTGGAAGACTTTCACAGCTCTAAAAAACTGAACCACTTATAATGAACTGGAAAAACACAAAGCAGACTTACCAGAGCTGAGGCTATCTCAGTTGTATTACAGATCTATTTTTCATAGTGAAATAATCATTTGATAAATCTTAATATGAAATTCTGGCATTAGAATTCAATAGGAATCTTGTCCCTGTATCTGGGAAGTAAGGTTTGGTTTTAAGATTCTTCAAATGATTACTCACCCATTCGTTGGAAGAGGCATGCATCCGATGGCGCCATTTGGCCCTTGTTACTTCATCTGATCACTCATCTGACTGAATGATGTGGAGATGGAGAACTGAAGAACCTTTTCCCATACAGGCTGTGATAAAAGAGCTTGCTGAACACTTCACAGTATGTAAAAGGAAACCACACAATGTTAGACTGACATCAGTGTTTGGGAGAAAGCTTTAGGACTTCCAGTTAAAGGAACAAATCGGGTAAATATTTGGAGAGGGACTGTTTGATTCAGGAGAATCGAGGTGATTTCAGGAATAGCAGGTCAAATCTGACTAGCTTGGAATTCTTTTAGGCTACTACTGCCAGGGAAGAAATGAAAAATGCAGTAGATGGTCTTACACCGGACTTGGATTTCTCAGAAAGCATTTGAGAAAATGTTCTGCCTCGTAGGTTAATATAAAAGACAGCCATGGAGTAAGTGGAAAGTTGGCACAGTACACTGGGAATTGGCTAAAGGGCAGGAAACAAAAGGTAGCAGTAAAAAGCTAAAAGAAGGTTAATTGGTGAGTGCTGCAGGGAACAGTGTTGGGACCAGCTTTTCATTATTTACATATAAATTACTTGGAAGATGGTATTGAAAGAGATTTCCATGTTTGCCAATGAAACTGCATTGGATGATGCTGCACGTACAAGGAACAATACAATTAAGAAAGGATTTAATGTATTGAAGTAGCTGTGCTGATTGATAATAAAGGCAGCTGAAGCTGAATATAGAGTGTTGCCCCTCTTGGCTTGAATTCCACTGGGCCAGGCTGGTTCAAGAGCGTCTCAGGTGGCTGCAGGCTCACATGTCCATTTGCTACGGGTAGTTTTCAAGCCAGAGTTGGCTGGCTCGCTTAAGAACATGAATGGGATACCAGATCAGGTGTGGCTGTTTCACAAGCCAAGTATGGCCTTTTGCAGGTAAGTGCATTAGAATGGCCATACTGGGTTAGACCAATAGTGCATCTAGCCCAGTATCCTATCTTACAACAGTGGCCAATGCCAGGTGCCCCAGAGGGAATGAACAGAACAGGTAATCATCAGGTGATCCATCCCCTGTCACCCATTTCCAGCTTCTGGCAAACAGAGGTTAGGGACACCATCCCTGCCCATCCTGGCTAATAGCCATTGATGGGCCTATCCTCCATGAATTTATCTAGTTCATTTTTGAACCCTGTTATAGTCTTGGCCTTCACAACATCCTCGGGCAAAGAGTTCCACAGGTTGACAGTGCGCTGTGTGAAGAAATGCTTCCTTTTGTTTGTTTTAAATCTGCTGCCTATTAATTTCATTTGATGACCCCTAGTTCTTGTGTTATGAGAAGGAATAAATAACCTTTCCTTATTACTTTCTCCACACCAGTCATGATTTTATAGACCTCTATCATATCCCCCTTTAGTTGTCTCTTTTCCAAGCTGAAAAGTCCCAGGGTATGTCTACACTACAAAATTAGGTCGAATTTATAGAAGTTGGTTGTTTAGAAATCATTTTTATAAAGTCAATTTTGTGTGTGTCCACACACAAAATGCTCTAAGTGCATTAAGTCGGCAGACTGCGTCCACAGTACCAAGGCTAGCGTCAACTTCCGGAGCATTGCACTGTGGGTAGCTATCCCACAGTTCCCGCAGTCTCCGCCACCCATTGGAATTCTGGGTTGAGATCCCAATGTCTGATGGGGCAAAAACAGTGTCGCAGGTGATTCTGGGTACATGTCGTCAGGCCCCCACTCCCTCCCTTCCTCCATGAAAGCAACGGCAGATAATCGTTTCGTGCCTTTTTTCAGCCCAGACGCCATAGCACTGGGATCATGGAGCCCGCTCAGATCACTGCGGCAATTATGAGCACTGTAACCAACACGCACATTATCCTGGAGTATATGCAGAACCAGAACCTGCCAAAGCAAAACCAGGCGAGGAGGCAATGGCAGCACAGTGACGAGAGTGATAAGGAAATAGACATGGACATAGACGTCTCACAAAGTATGGGCCCCGGCAATGTGCACATCATGGTGTTAATAGGGCAGGTTCATGCCGTGGAACGCCGATTCTGGGCCTGGGAAACAAGCACAGACTGGTGGGACTGCATAGTGTTGTAGGGCTGCGAAACTTTCGCATGCATAAGGGCACTTTCATGGAACTGTGTGACTTGCTTTCCCCTGATCTGAAGCACCAGAATACCAAGATGAGACCAACCCTCACAGTTGAGAAGCGAGTTGCGATAG